ATCACCTGTTCCAAAATGAGAAATAATCAACTTTTTCCAGGTGAAGAAAAGGGAGAATCAAACGACCAATTGATGAAGAAGGAAAAGGGACCATAGAATAAGCGGCAAATCCAAAGTCAGAGACACCATAATAGAGCCCATCCAAAACAAACGCTAGAGCATTCACCGGTTGAGATCCAGCCACAAACTGCATCCAGCCAACATTATTTAGATATTGTCTGAGACTACCCTTTTCAAACTCTTTCTGGATTAAAAGATAAGATCTTACTAAGGTCCCTGACAAAGCAATCTTTAAAACTTCTGAATCCGTTGTGAATAAGCTTGAAAATGGTTCGAAAGTGATGAACAATACAGCAGCCAAACCAGTTCCAGTTGCTAAACCTACCTACTTAAAAGATTGCAATTGTACATTATAACATCGAATATATAGGGTAGGATATAAACTAGGGATGTAATGAATTATGAATACGAACTTGAAGGACTCCGAAGAGAACTTCCCGGGCTTGTTTGTATTCTCCTTGAGAGTAAGTGGTGGCAAGAAGACTCTGAAAATAGAGGTAGAAAATATAAGTGAAAATCTTCTCCCCAAAAGGTAATCTTGGATCATGCTAATGGGATTCTTATATCACAGTAAATCTTGGTAGAGATTGTCTGTTTCGAAGATGATTTGCAAAAGATAATAGACCTGTGCAGCAATGGCTAAAGCATCGGTGAGTAAAGAGACAGCCAACCAGATTTCCAAGACGATTTGATGGCCAGCCATTTGAGTGGGTCCATTTTGAGCTGCTAACGAAGTAGCTAATGTGAATGGCACAAGCAAAGCCACCGTTCTACCAATGAGAAGCCCACCTAAGCATGAATCAATACATTTCATATAGTAGCCTTTCTGAATCGTTTAAAGAAAACTTGAAAATTTTAAGGAATTACCTGATTTGAGGTACTGGTTGGCTCTTCCCACTTTGATTTGAGGAGAGAGCAAAACTACATTCTCATTCAACTTCCATAGAAGAATAAATGCAATCAAGTATCTGAAGAAACGTTGACAAGTGAGAAACATAAGAAGCCACAAATTAAGATAGATATGCTTTACTAGAAAACGAGTCTATTACCACATTTTTGGACATACTCAGAAATCACAGTAGCAGCCGCAGCACCAGAGATACCAAAACCAAGGACAAATATCAGGATTGGATCCAATACCGCATTAAGTACATTCCCCGCAACTGGTGATATAGAGTTCACCATATTAGAAACATGTATGTGAAACTGCTAATGCATATATACGGTCTAGTGAGCTAATGCGCATATACTATTTATTTCCTCAGATCCATTCATGCATAAATACAAAAAAAAATAGATGATTGTGCAATACTTGCCAACGGCATATAGAGGCGTTGTTGTGTCCTTGAAACCTCGAAAAGCTCCTTGCGCAGCCAATGCAACAACAATTGGTGGTGCACCATACGCTCGAAGTCTGAGGAACTGCTCTGCTGGTATCCGCATTGGTGAATCCTAAACAAATTACAAACCGAGAAAGAAGAGCGATCAGCTATACAAAACTTCAAAGATAACAGCTTATATAAAAGAAGTTCAACGTGAGCTTAGAGACATTACAAAAGGTATAGCCATGACATCCATCAAGAAATCAGACCCGAGAGATAGCGCAATGGCCTCTGCAATACCAACTCCAGCAGCAAGAACTAATGAAGTTGAAACCGAAGGCAGCACTTTCTTGCCTTTAACACCAACAAATAAACAACAGATTCAAAGTAAAGAAACAATCTTTGAAGAAAACAATAAAAACATTTTTCATTATAAGCTTTAAGGAAAGTAAAATACTTGTTTCTATAGAATCATTATCATCCTTAGCAGCAATTGCTTGCTCCTCCGCAACAAACGATGTTGTGACATTTAGTAAAGGAACATTGAAGAGCTTCGACACCAAATTGAATACAGAAACTGACACTCCTACTGCAGCTAATTCCGCAGAACCTGTCACATTACACATATGAATGTTAAAAATGTGAACTTTCGAAAAATGTGAAATTGTTGAAACCAAGCAAAAAGTAAGTATTTACCAATATGGCCAACGAAGGCAGTGTCGACAAGAGATGTTATAGGATCAGCAGCTAAAGCTAATGCAGCAGGTAATGCAATTGACATTATCTCCATTCCAATTTTACCAATCCTAAACCCAAAAAAATCAAATACATTAGAAACCATTCAAAGTTGAATACAGAAGAAGCATTATTAGGCTAAGGTACGAACCCAGGATCCGGTTTGTGATCATGATCCGGTTTATTCTGTGAAGTCAGAGGATTCTGCTGCTTTTCCGGTCGCTGAGAAGAAGTGGAGACGGCTGGAGATTCATCGCGAGGAGATGATTTACAGACGATTGTTCTTCGAATGGATGAATTAGGGTTTCCAAAACGTGACGGCGATCGATGGGGAGAGAAACAGAAGGAGGTAGCGACCGCCGCCATTGCGGAGAACGAGAGACGGAGAAAAATCTCGGCGGAGGAGGAAGAAAGAGAGCCACATGTTGATGTTCACTCTTTTTATCTATCTCTACTCACTAACTGATTAAACGGTCACATGTCTAAACTAGCTGTACCTTATGGATGGGCCTTTAATGGGCTTTTTATTAGGCTTTTAAATAGCTTGTTTGTTTGTTACTTTGTTTTTTTGTTTTTTTTTCTGCCAATGTTACACTTTGTATCTTTAAGATAGCTTCATCTTTTTTCTTTGTTGTGCCGTGACTCTCATATGTAAGTCATGAGTTTGATTCGTGTATTATCACTCACTTTCTCAATTTAGCAACAACTCAAAAGAAATATCTCTTTCTCCAGTTATCTTGTGACTTGGATTTGCATTTTTTTTATACACTTAAAATTTTGTTTAGTTGTTTTTTGAATGGATCCAAATTTGGATTATAGGTCCGCATATTTTGATTTTTGGGAGTATATTTGAAATCCGCATATCTAGTGTTCAAGAATCTTGATATAGAAAGTTGTAAGATCATTTGATATCCTAAAACTCAGAATTCTTTTTTTGGGTTCAAAAGCAATAACTAGTTCTTAAGAGCATATATTGGGAAAAAATAAAAATAAAGATCAAGGACGTGTTTCATGATTCAGCAGAGTTGGTTTTTGTTTTGTTTTTTGGGTTCAAAAGCAGAGTTGGATTTTAATAGATAAAGAAACATAGAGTACAAGAGTAAGGCATAGAATTGAAGTCAGCCAATTTACATCGAAAATTGGAGCGTTAGTTAAAAGAATTTATTGAGAGAGTTGCGACGCCGTGCAGCATCAGCAGAGCAGCCTCACATGACTTGCGGTCCCAGCAAATTACAGAAGAAGAAGACCTATCCTCTCTCTTTTTGAACAACCTGATTATGCACGTTGAAATACAGTAACACGTCTAACACTAGTATCATATTAAGTAAATAATACTAAATGGACCATATAACTCTTCATTCAACTTTATCAATAATGTAAGTTTGTAAGGTATTAATTAAATACCGGGGTTTACTTCTCCTATGATTATTTTATAATATTAGAATTTTGTAGTAGCATTAGGCTGTATTTTGAAAAGAAAAAACCTTTGTAATAGCATTACTATTTTACTCAGTAGTTAGAAGATGTGTTAGGAACTTGTATATGATTGGTCGGATCGATTACTGATTAAACCTTAAACCGTTGCTCATTGGTCTTTTTTATAACAATTCATAATATAACATATGAAAGAATGAAATACATATAATATATAGCTTGGGAACGCGTTCTCCTAAATTCCATACAACAGTTTGTCACTAAAATACCAAATTAGTAATTCTAAATACCAAATTATCCATTATTGACCAATACTGGTTATCATCCATTCCAAATTTAGATATAGACATACTTAGTGGCACAGGCTGTATACAACAGTTTGTCACTAAAATTCATTGTAAATGGCTACTTTCTCCTAAATTCAATACAACGTTTTACGTTGCAACCTTTGCAAAATATAATGATTTTTACAACGAAAATGAATACTACATATCCCAACGTTTTGACTATATTATAAATCCCAACGTTTGCAGAAAGTCACTGGACTACCAAGACAAACTAAATAGTTATTTAGTTTAAACAAGCGAGATGTATAACTTCTATATACAGAGCAACTATCTTTGGTTAGAACTCCGGACCATAAAATATATTCGTACTAAATTGGCAAAGAAACAAACATGCATAGAATTCAAATTAGAAATTAAATTTCCGGTTTCTTGTATTCGATCTCTTTTTCTTGAATGTTACATAAATTCATGCAATTAACATATTAATAAGGTCTCTGAAGAAGAAAGTGAAAACGTAGAAGAAGAATCACCAAGAATATGCGACCAAAAAACTCACCATGAAGATAACATACAAGATACTGGAAAATTTGCAAATGAACCTACTAGAAAAAATAAATGTAACTGTGTATATGCATGTTGGTCCACGTGGTTCATGCAGAGCATATCTGTTCCCCACTTACCCTGACCCCAACCGCGAGCACTATAAAGTGAGTAAATCCTAAACAAATCTTAAAGAAAATGATACTAGTATATGTAACTTTTGGTTAGTATGTAACATCTCCGATTCTACTTTAATGTAAGAATATTGTATATAACTGATTGGCGTTCACCCTTTTCAGAATAATTGGTTTAGAATGTTTGGACCGACATTAATTAACTAATTTTACCAAAACGGTAATAAGAACACTAATAATTGTAATTAATTAATAAAATACAGATGAAACTTACCCGACGGTGGCTGACTGCACCGGAGAAAGAGACTAAAGATGAGATCTAATCTGTTCTTTCATGTTTTGTTTTAGACAAAATACTATAGTTTCTTAGTTTAAACAAAAGAGATAGAAAATAAGACACGTTTATAAAAGATAGCTTAAATGGACAGTAAAAAGAATTGATTCTCAAGTGATTTTAGGCGTTTTGCCTCGGCCTTTTTCATTGTAGTAAGAAGAGCCAATGAAACTCAGGATGGATAGCGCCAAAAAATAGATAACGAATGTGATCATCATGGCGCTATCCCTCCTGAGCTTTACAGATTCTTCTCTACTTTGTTTTTTTGGGTTGTGACTTAGAGAAAGATAAAACCGATTATAGAGAGATAGTGAAGCTAAAAAGATGGAAGTGAGGAAGAAGGAGAAGAGAAGGTGCTATTTATAGACGAACAAAACTCGGGTTCGAAGGAACACACGTCATCTCCTCTTCGTTAAACGTGAAATTATTCATTTCTATATTTTCTTACCAAAATATATATCTGATGACTACCTTTTTTTTCCCCCTATAATAATGTATTTATTAAATTTCTTAGCTTTTTTAGTGTGGAAAGTATTGATACTATATAGTCCAGATGTGATTTATTGGATCCCGTTGATTGTTTGACTTTAGTTTCTTCTTCTGAGGCCTTTTGATTCACAGAAATGAAGGAAGCTTAATTCAAAATACATGATAATGCTTTTGTTGACGAACAATTATAGATGCATCTATTATAATATATGCTATCATTTTAACCCGGACTTTAATTACGTATATGTATATATACACACATTGCATATCCTATTGTGATTTAAATAAATATGTATTTATATACCACATATTATTAATTATATACCATTGGTCCGATATTCAAAATATTCGAAGACCAATGCTTTTTTTTTTGTCGGCCGAAGACCAATGCTTATTTGCAAACTATGAGACTTCACAATATATATTCGTGGATTTGAAAGTATAATTTTATATTATTTTGTTACGCGGATAAAATTGATTTCTATAATTACACTTACACAATACTGAAAATTTAATTAATTAAACAGAGTTATATTTTCCCGACCAAAATTATATTTTTAGGTGTATATAAAATACTAGAGGTCCAGAGGTACAATTCTTACCCAAATAGGTAAATTCAGGTAAATAACGGTGAAGTTTGTTTTTTCCATATATGTTAACAGAAAATGATTAAACTAATGAATGTCAAGACTTTTTAGTTCTTACTTTATCTTTTTAGATGGTTGTTTGTGTCATTTTCCTGCCGACTACGGTACTAGTCAAGTAAAATATGTATTCATATCAAGAGATATACGATGACATTATTTCTAATCCTGAAGTATTTACATAATTCATCCTCTTTTTTTTCTTTTCTGCAGATAAAACAGAGTTTCTAATTTGACTAAAGTTGTACGGTCAATATATATGTGTTTTATACTCTAGATGTGAAACAAAAAAATTGGTTATAGTCCAGCTAACTTACAAAATTACCTAAGTTATAATGGCTTGTCGATAAAAGAACTAACTTACAAAATGGCCTAATTTATAATGATTTTGTCGAAAGAGCTAACTTACATAATGACTATATTAAAAATATTATTTTAATTTACCGGAATATATATCTTTTCTTGTTTTGGTTTAAGATTTTGTAATATTATAGTTAAAACTGTAATCGATGGCTTGTTGTTTTGTATTAGCCTATTAAGGCTATTCAAATAACACTGCGTGGTTAAGAAATGAGGTAAAAGTTTTCGTGGGTTTGACCGTTTGAGCCTGATGTCAAAATGTCTTGGTCGCTGAACTTTTTTCTTTGTTTTCGTTATACCTGGCCTTAAAATACTAGAATAAAACAGTCAGGTTGGAATAGATGATCAGATTTGAGAGATAACAAATTTTATTGTTTAACGGTGTATTAGATTGGATGCAGCAAACATTTGTATAGCTGGTAAGTTTTGATTGCAATTGAAAGAATTTATCAAAAACGAAAAAAAATATTGTTGTGTTCATGCCCAAAGTTTGGATGGTTATGTTATATAGGATTTTAACTCTTAAAAAAAAAAGATTTGAATTGGTTCTTTTCAAATAATGATTATGTTCCCCTATAGCGCATCTAAGATTTGATGAATAACATTTTTTAAGATACATTTTCTCATAAAAGTGAGTCTGGGTGTTATTAGTTACCATATTCAATATTCACATCAATCTCACATCATGCGGTGTGGACAATGCTTTCAATAGTGCGTCCCATATATCTCACTTTCATCACTACATTTTTCTCAAATTTAAAATTAATTACTGTTCCTAAAAGAATACGATCAAGAGTTTGGCCACCAAAATCAATGAGGGTTTGGGAACTGAAATCAAAGGATTCATTACCAAATAGTTTAGCAGTTTCTAAAGTGTTGATAAACTTTCCACACACACACAAATTCGTTTGATAATCTGAATATTGAGAAGGAATCAGATGAGGAGTCCCCTTTCCGGAGCAAGATCCATGTATTCCTAACTTCTAAGTAGCTGAAGAACGTCCAAATAAAAGAAAACAAAAACACACACACAATAATAAATAATCAATTAGATATATTTATGTACATCTCCATATCTTTTACTGGCTGAGAATTTACAAACATTCAGTCTGACATTAATTTGGGTCACTCTTTCGTTAGGTCATTATCATAGGCAACAGCCCTCTCAATCAATAGCATGATACATTAATGTTAAAAAGATTTTAAAAACTCACATAAATACATGAAGATGAACGAATCTAAGTTGGAGCGTACGTACTATATATTAGTAATATATACATGGAATTCTGTAGTCTCTATCCTCTGCCATCTCTACACAGTTGTGCTCTGATGGGGTGACATAGAATTTATGAATACGGCTTTCTTAAATATACTAAATATTTCATTTTGTTAGCATGTTTTGAATGCATGAATATAGTTAGCTTCTGTGAGATTTAGCCTGGTAAAAATAATTCGACTTTGATTTATTCAAAATTTTGACTTACAAGTGTATGTTATACAAACAATGTATTTAAAATGTTAATTTGTAATCATGTGTTTGTTTCTTTGAAACCATTTAAAATCTTATACAGAGCCAAGATTCATAGAATCAGAGTAGTGGGAAGCCTCCATATAAAAGGAACCAATATACATTCAAAAGTATTAATTGGCTGAACTTTTTATGCAAAGACATTCATCTGACAAAATTCAACCTCATTTGATCAGCTTTTCGTTAAAATGGTCATCATCCACACAGTCCTCAATCAATGGGGTCTATTGCCAATTTACCGGTCAGATTTTTTTTTTTTTTTTTTTTAAATGTAATGTGAAGAACGAGATTCTTCGAAAAATCCAAAGAAGGATGATTGAAATTTAAGTTTCTGGTTTTAGTAATTCAAGAAATAATGGAGGAAATTCTGGGAAGAAATCAAAACAATTATTGGAGCGTCACTTCAGGGCGGCTTTATGATTCTGTATCTGTCCTGCCAACTTCCCAGTTTCTCCGCCTTATACTTTGTGACACAGAATTTAACACACACAGTTTTTCATGCAAATATTTCTTATTTTAGTTATCAACTGAAAACATATTCGGTTTAATTTAACATATAGTTGAATGATATTTGTGATTAATGACAAAATGTTGAATAGTTTAGAAATAAAACCTTTAAAATCATCATATAAACTAAAATACATTCTTTTTTTTTCTATCAACCGATATAAACTAAAATACATTCTTAATCCCAATTTATCAGAAGCATGATTCTTAAGTAGTTAACATAAAAGATAAACTCAAGTTTGTATATGATCACGATTATATCTTGATACAAACACATATTTTAACGTATACACATAGGCTGTTATGCATTTTTCACATCATGCATTGAAAAGTTAAAAATTATTTTTCAACTCTAGATAGAGTAAAACGCACAGTTTAAACATAACAAAAAAAAAAATACCATTTTTAAGATTGATAGATTTTCTTGGAACCATATCCAAAACTTGCAGAGCCTATTCAACTATGGCCCAAAACCAAAAAAAAAAAAAAACTGTTTTGACCCAAATTAAGGCATTCTAATTGTTGTCTTTTACTCTTTTTCCAAACTAGATGTACACTTGATACTCCTAACAAAAAGGGGTCAAAAAGGTAACAATTATGATTATACAATAAAAATCTGTTATGTAATTTCCAATTTCAAATTTAACCGATTAGAGAAGAAAACTTAAACAACCTCACCTAGCAATTCATTGAAGAAATGGCATATTAAGAAAAACATGTTAATTTTTTTGATAGAAAAGAAGTGAGAGTAAGGAAATCAACTGTACAATTGAAGTGGAATAGGTAAAAAAACAAAAGATATAATAGTAGTTTTCAACTAGAATGATGGTCAAGAATATAAGCATAAAGGAGTTCATTCCAAACATCAGGAACTCCAGGCAAACACCAATGTATACAATCTGCGTTACTACTTGGATTCGAGATTTCATTTTCCTTCACTGTTCCCCATTGTTTTCTGTAGATCGAAGGATGACCTTCTTTTCGATACTCTGATAGTTGCGTAATGTTTATCATCTGCATGTTTAATCCTCGATTTTTTAGCCCGTCAAGCACATTTTCTAAGACTCTCATCATCTTTGGATCTGACCCTCTTCCAGTATATCCTTCTTTATCTATTAGACTAGCTTCTCCATAACAGTTCTGATTAAGTATTCCTCCCCATTCTTCAGCCCTACATAGATGTACTTATGTTACCTTGTTATCTTGTGTAAGAAACCAAATAATACCAATATGACAAACTCATTTTGTCATAAGTTGTGCCGATCATATGCATCATTATAAAATATTAGGAGAAATAAAATATTTATCGGAAAAACGTAAAGAATGAGGATACGAATCTATGAGGGAAGAAAAGAAGATCAAAAAAGCATTATCATGGGTATTGAAAAGATCAGTTAGAGAAATGTACCTTTCATGGGTGGGAGACATGGACATGAAGAAAAGTTTGGTAATATTGGGGTTAACGTGAACCTCCAACCACTGAGACAGTGTTTGCAAAGCCATCTCATAAACTCTCACCATCTCCACTTCCTTGTATATTCCATCTGATTTCTCAAACGATCCCCACCTTTTATACATATATTTATTTTTTTACTCATCATGTTACATATTGAGTATAATTGAGTTTAACTTAAAAAAACTTACAGTGACTTGATATGAGGCATTCTCCACCATAAGTAAGAGTTGAAAACAATGATATCAGCGTTCGTCCAATGCCTTGCATGT